CGGGTCAGGAGAGGTCTGCCATGCCATGTGGTCACCTCCAGGGCAGGCGGGAATTGAACTCATGCAGAAGCGGCTTTAGATTCTCAATGCTATGCTTTAACCCGCTGCACCACCAGGGAGGGCTCCTCATTGTCTTTTATAAATATAAATAACCACGGGAAAACAAATTGTAGAACTATATCTTAAATGGTGTTTCACAAAATGCATTTTTAAGGACAGAAACATCTTACATACTGCCTGTCAACTCACCATAGTGATTTTTGGCAACAATAATCTGAGACTTAATTTGTGATTTCTTGTGCTATTGTTTTTGTATTTTCTCTGTATTTTCCTTTTCAGTGAAATGTTAAAAAGTCTGCTAAGTAAATCTTGCATAGTGTTATCCATTTGAAATATAAAGATTTCACATATCTCAGCCTTCTTACTATTTCATCAGGTACCTTGCTACCCATCCATGGATTCTGTATTAAAAAACCGTGGTGGGGCCCTCCCTGGTGGCGCAACGGGTTAGGATGCAGCACTGCAAGCTAGCCGTAGCCGCTTCAGTGCAAGTTTGATCCCCTTCCCCAGAGGTGACTAATACAGCATAGCAGACCTCTCCTGACCTGCCCGCTGCTCTGGCCTGTACCCCAGTTATGTATGCATAAATGAATAAATCTTTTTTTAAAAAAACATCGTATTATGTGACACTAGTGTTCTACACTGGCAGTAGGACAGGTTAACATGAACTTTTCAATATACTTTATACTAAGCTACTTTGGTAACACCCTTGTTATATACTTGTAGTTTTTAATTTGACTTGGAAAAATTTTATTTCTAGACCACCATAGCTAGTAATACTGTTTTAAGAAACCAAGAGACTTTATTTTATAGGAGTTTGGGCTGCCAACCCATCCTCCATTAATGGTATTTGGCCAGTTCCTCCTCCCCTAAAAAAAAAATTAACAAATTTTTGTTTTTGTTGATATGAAACATTTTTATTGTCCAAAGAAAGTTAAGCTCCAGTGACAAATAACCAAATAACCAGCACTTTTTTGTGTGTATGAATTGATGTACATTTTCCTTCAACCATTACAGTATTTTCTTATGGTTGACTCTAGTTTAAGAGTGAGTTGGGTGATGGATGGCATGTACTGATACGTGTACTTATTGGACATACAACTCAGTAATCTTTTTCTTTAATTTTCTATTTGTACTTAGTTGTCCATGAATAGAAAGATAGTTATTTACCTCATTAATTCAAATGTAGTGTTTCTAAAAAGCCTCAAACAAGAAACACGGTTTCTTAAAATTCAAAACATAGTTTTAAATTGAGTCATTCATATAAAAATAGGTAAATGGGACCTCCCTGGTGGCACAAGGAGTTAAAGCACAGCTTTATGAAATTATCCAACAGCCACTGCAGCACCAGTTTGATCCCCAGCCAGGGAGGTGGCCCACAGGCACAGCAGACCTCTCCTGTCCTACCCACTGAGCCCCTCAGCAGTGTACTTTAGTAGAGCCACCTGCTCTGTTGCCCACTCTGTCTCTGGTGAGCCCTCTCACACCCCTACACTTAAGGCCTGTACCCTGGTTCTTGTATGCATTAATAAATATTTCAGAATGAATAAATAAAACTAGGGAAATACCCAGAATTTATAAAATTGTATTACACAATAAAATGACATGACATAACATGGCATCTATTTGGAATTTCCTTATTATTGCCCAACAGAGTGTTTTTGTGTTATGAGAATAGGTGTGCTAGTTTACTTGTATAATTTTTTGTGGAATGTATGTGCAAGCCAAAAGTCAAAAGCCAGTGTAGAGGTAGTTTTATCTAATCAGGAATGCATTTATTAAAGTTCAGTATTTGCCAAAGGGATATTTACTGTCGGAGACCAGCTCCAACTTTTGAGGTGTCTGGAGGCAACACAGGCAGGACCCTAAGATGGGAAGGCATGGGCGTGCAGAGATTCCAAGAGGGGGAGAGGAGTGGGAGTGAGGAAGACATGGGGAAGACATGGGAGCCGGAGTTGGGTGCCAATCTTCCTGCTCTGCCTTCAGCAGAGGTTTATTTTATACATTTCCAGCAGGCTGGGGGATGGCATTAGCATACAAAAGGGGTTAAGATCACAGTCACCTTTTTTCTAAGAAAATGGTCTGGGGTCTCAGGAAGAGGAAATTTCTTGCTAATCAAGAAACTCACTAAAAGGTTTTAAGTAAGTTTCCTTGAGGTCCAGACAGTAGAAAGTGTAATTTGCTCTAAATAGGAGACAGGGGTGAATTTCCTTATCTAAAGACTAGATAGTAGAATCCTGAAAGACTAGCCAGAAAGACTTTTGTGGATTGCTTTGAAGTGTAGCAGGTAAAAAACTTGACTAGCTCTAAAACAGGCAACCTGGATGAATTTCCATATCTAAAGCCAGACAGTAGGAAGTTTGAGTAATTCTGTAAAAGCTGAATAGGAGGCTAGGTGAGAGAGTAGAATAAGATTTGGGTTTTCCTCCCCCGGGTGTGAGAGACTTTGCAGAAACAGCCCTTTTGCTTTTATTGATCAGCCAATTGTTAAGTCACTTTTGACTTCGGAGGAATTTCTCACCCTGGTGCAGTGCTTGCTTGTCAGGGCAGGCAGGCCTTATGCAGCTGAGGCAATCCAATTGTAGGCTGAAAGTTGCTCAGAATATTTTGATATTACGATTATACAAAAAAGGGAGGTCATAACACAAGTTAGCATGGAAAGTCTGATCTTTCAGAGCTTTTCCCGAGCTACCCGGAATCTGTCAGACGATAGCCGTCACATAGCTTGTGTCAATTTACTTTTTAGTGTTTATTGCCAAGGCTATGTGCTACACTGTCAGAGCTTATTTTGACCATTTTTGTATGAAAAGCTTGGCAAAATGTTTATATGTGTCCCTCAGAAGAGCAATTGTTTTGCAAAAGCAGTCATACTTGCTGTTACAGTAGCATTTCTCAATCTAAGATTCTTGAATGACCTGCAAGGAGTTCACACCAAATTTTGATTACGTATTTACTAGAAAGAGATAGTTAAGTGTGATTGAGATTGTTTAATGTTTCTGTGAGAAAACTACTTGAAAAAATGAAACACATTTTAGGCTTGAGGGGAGCTGAACTTGGCTTTTGTTTATAATCCCTTTAGGATACAGATGAGTTTATTTTACCAACTGGAGCTAATAAAACCCGGGGAAGATTTGAACTGGCCTTCTTCACCATTGGCGGATGTTGTATGACAGGTGGGCATAATTTTTTTTAGATGTACTCAATCCAAGTAGTCAGGGGTGTTTAAAATTAAGAGCAGTTAAAATATTGGTTTCAAAATATCACTGTATATTTTTCATCTTTTTCTAGTAAATAAAAATGAGAAGGAATAAGAAGTGTAGGTTGTATCTTAATATAAAGCTATGTTACTTGGATGCTTACCAGGGGCTGCATTTGGGGCAATCAATGGTCTGCGACTAGGATTGAAGGAGACCCAGAACATGGCCTGGTCCAAGCCAAGAAATGTACAGTAAGTCTTATGTAATTACGTGATATAGTGATGTTGGAATGATACTCTGTTGGCTTCATAGACATACCACATTGAGATAACAAATGTTCAGAGTATAGACTGACTTTTGGTTGATTTTTTTTTTTTCCCCTCAAACTAAAACAATCAGGTTACTGAGTACAATCTTATAATGAAAAGATTTTTGAATCAGTATTCTTTAATCAAGCCCTACTTCTTGGTTCCAATTCTGCAGGCATATATATGGCATTTTTTTTATCATTCAGTGCCATGCAGAACCATAGGACATGTTAGTAAGGAAATAAGTGTGTAAGAGGAGTTATTATTACCGAATCTACTGTCATTTGACTTGAATTTCTTTTTTGATTTTAGTCCATTTCTGAAAGCTACCAAAGTTTAAATGAAATTCTTAGTTCCAAAAGGTAGAAGTCAATCTTCTTCCAGGAAGTTGAAAAACTTCAATTTCGGATAAGGGAAAATACAATTTAAAAGGTCAGAAAGTATATATTACGTGTATCTTCATCCTGTTTAAGAAACAAACATGAACAAATGCTATTGATAATCCCTTAAACTATGAATAGTTTTGCATGATTTTATACTTTCTGTGATTGTACATATACTGCAAAAGCCTGGCTCCTGGTTTTGTTTATAAAAGCACACTGTCAACTCCATCCTGTTTAGCCAGCAGGTGGCAGCAGGGGTGCTGGGCATTACAACTTTGGAAACCTGAAAACATCAAGTTTTCTGCGGTCATTTACTTTTTCTAATGAATTTTTTTTTTTATTAAATGACTAAAAAGTATTATAAAATTTTGTTATATAGCACATTGATTTACATAAGCTGTCTGATTAAATTAAATGAAGTATTTTATTCTTTGTGATTCCATAATTTCCAGCAGTAGTCAGCTGTCCGGACAGAACCATTCCTGTGATGGTGTTACACTGCTGGGAGAGGAATGTCCTGTCTTCTTCTTCTGGTTGCCTCTGTCGCTGTTCTGGTGGCATCTGGCACTGGTCCAAGGCAGAACTATGCTTCCTTGAGAGTGTGCTGAGCATTCACTTTGGCTGCTTAGTTCTAGTCTGGAAGCAGACATAAAATGTATTTCTCCTTCATATCTATAAACAGTAAAAGTTATTATTAAATTCTGAGGCAGTATAGGGGCCTCCCTGGTGGCCCAGCGGGTTGGAGTGCTGCACTGCAAAGCTAAGGTAAGCTGTGCCAAGCCATTCTTGCTTCAGTGGATCTCCCTGCCCCGGAGGTGATCCACATGGCACAGCAGACCTCTCCTGTCTTGCCTGTTCTGCTTCCCTCTGTTTCTGGTGAATCCTCTCCCCGCCCCTGCACCTCTGGCCTGTACCCCATTTCTGTATGCATAAATAAATAAAATCTTTTTTAAAAATTCTGAGGCAGTATAAAGGTAAATTTTCAAATTAAACAACTTTTGGTGTTGGGTTTAAACTTTTTTTTTTTTTTAAGATTTATTTATGCACATAAGAGCTGGGGTTGCAAGCAAAATGTAGGGGTGAGAGAATTCACCAGAGACAGAGTAGCAAGCAGAACAGGCAGATCTATTGAAATGCACTGCTGACGGGAGCAGTAAACAAGACAGGGTAAGTCTGCTGCTCCAGGAGGGTCAGTTCTTTGGCTAAGGATTGAATTCTTGATGCAGTGGCTGCAGATGGCTTCATATTGTTGCACATTACCCCTTGTGCCACTAGGAGGACCAAGTTTAAAGTTTTTTGAACAGCTACTATGGTAGATCTCCAGTTACAAGATGATCGGTAATTCTGAATACATATTGTTTTTTCTTTCTGCCTTCGTAGGATTTTGAATATGGTGACTAGACAAGGGGCACTTTGGGCTAATACTCTAGGTTCTCTGGGTAAGTAAAAATCTTACTTGATAATAAATGCAAAAACACTTTTTTGAACAAACAAAACTCTGGCCCTCTTAAAAGATTTATTTGTGCTTAAATCCACTCTGGTGAGTAGGTTAGTTTAGGAAAGACCATGAGCTACATAATAAAATAACCTCAGGTGCTAATCCTTTTCTCAATGCCATCTCTTAATGTTGTAAATCTTTTTAAGTATTGTATACTCTCCTATCACAGATGACATCAAATAAAGTCATGTTTTAACTGCATGAAATCCAGGTAATTTAGGTTCAAGGTAAATGACTTTGTATGTTAGGAAAGGTTCATGATCCTGAAGTTAAATACGATAGTATAATTCAGCCCTCTTTCTCATAACCTATTCAGCATTCTGTTTTATCTGAGTATCCCTGACTTAATTGCCAGAGTTGCAATAGGCTTTATAGATAATAAAAATATTTGCAGTTCTAAGTAAGGGATAATTAGGTAGTACTTAGGACCACAGTGACGCCTTTGATTACTCATGACTTATAATAGACCAATCTGGGTGCTTACGCCCCAATGTCAAAGATTTTCTTTGTGACTTAATTGGAAGCCTTAATTGTGGCAGGTTAAGGGGAAGAACAGACATCTCTTTTGAAAGATAGAACAGACATCTCTTTGACCAGGTGTGATACCAGCCTTCTCATCAGACTTAGAGGCAGTACATTTTCACACCATAAAGCAAGTCATATTTGAGGTTCTAGTAAAATGGCTGTCTTCGTATGTTTCTCACATGCATCGCCACCAGCCAGTACACATTCATCTTCTTTTCCCTGGTTTGATGGCTTACATACCCAGAGCAATTAACTGTCCTGTTGTATCCTGGAGTTTTCTTAGTTTTAGCCTTAAAATCCCATGTTCCCACTCAGTCCTAAACAAACAGGATGCTGGTCATGCTGTGTGTTTCCCTCATAGTATCATCAATCACCATGTTCTATTCAAGTTCAATTTCAGTTAAATAAATTATAACAGGAAGAAGAGCCCTGGTAGGAGTATGAAAACTACTGTAATATTGGGGGAGTTGTTAAGACTTAGTATGGTTTAATGCTAATGGGTTAGATGTGGCTACAAGTTTGAGAAAAGTTAAGTAAACATGAATGATAGGAATCTCACCAGGCATAGAAAAAGGATGGTTTGGAGGAAGATCTTTTTAAAACTGAAGAATGCTAGTGTTACCGTTTTCCTTTGTGGGGACCAAGCCACATTTTTTTAAAGTGACTTATTTTTTGCAGTGGAAATAGATGTGTTTTTGTTTCCGAATCCAAAGTATAACTACTATGAAATTGGAGGAAATTAAAGGTGTTCTTCCTAGGACTCCCCAGTGGTACTTTCCATAAATAGCTACATTAGTATTTTAACTCTGCCAGACTTCTTTGCACATTCAGAGTCATGTACACCTTTACATTTTAATGAATATAACTCTTCTTTTGTTTTAAATGAATGTATATAGTATTCCATTATATAGAAAGTGCCTTTCTGGATCTGTGCCCATTGATGGGCATTTTATTGCCAGGCCTTATTTATTATTGCAGTATTTCAGTGGTTCTTTTTTGTTTTGAGTCCTTTAGAATGGCCTTTGTAGAATACATTTGCCATAATACAATCACAATTACGATGCTGAGTTTCACTTTTTAATTGCTGATCAGTTCCATTTTCCCTGTAGCCTTGCTGTATAGTGCATTTGGTGTCATCATTGAGAAAACACGAGGTGCAGAAGATGACCTAAACACAGTAGCAGCTGGAACTATGACAGGCATGTTGTATAAATCTACAGGTTGGTACTATTGAATGGAGAGCTTTTTTTCTTTTCTTTTTTTTTTTGAAACATGAAGGTAAAAAACAAAGAATGAAAGTAATTGCCTCACAAAAACAATGTGCCTAAGGGTACATTGACAGTAAAGAAGTTTTAGTACACATATTCAATGGCTTATCACTGAACTAATAATATAAAAAAGATAATGTAACTAAAAAGAAAGACCCTTGCTTTTTGCAACAACAGATGGAACTTGTGATGATTATTGCTAAATGAAGAAAGTCAGGTGAATGACAATTATTGGATGTGTTTTGTAGAATACAAATAACCAAGGCCAACAAACTTAAAAAATAAGGACTGAGGCCCTCCCTGATGGCGCAGCAGGTTAAAGCACAGCACTGAGATTCTAAAGCCGCTTCCGCATGAGTTTGATTCCCGCCTGCCCCGGAGGTGACCACATGGTGTGGCAGACCTCTCCTGACCTGCCCGCTGCTCCCCTCAGCAATGTACTTCGTCGATCTGCCTGTTCTGTTCCCCACTCTGTCTCTGGTGAAGCCTCTCACCACCCCTGAGCCTCTGGCTTGCACCCCAGTTCTGTATGCACAGATAAATAAATCTTTAAAAAAAAGGACTGAAAAATATAGTGGTTACCAGAAGTAAAAGGGGTGGGAGACAATAGGGATTAAAATTGAGGATTGGCACTCATATTGGTGGTGGGTGATATGTACAGATGAAGGTGAAGCTGTACCCCTGAAATTTGTTTTTATAAATCAATATTAAAAGTCAGTGAAATTTTATTTTATAGATTTATTTATTTATGCATACAAGAGCTGCTGTATAGGCCAGAAATGTGGGGGCTGAGGTGATTCACCAGAGAGAGAGTAGGGAACAGAACAGGCAGATCTATTGAAATACACTATTGAGAGGAGCATGAGGCAAGACAGGAGAGGTCTGCTGTATTATGTGGGTCACTTTCCTGGCCGGGTATCGAACTCATGTTGCAGTGGCTGCAGATAACTTCATATTGCTATGTCTCAACCCCTAGCACCACCAGGGAGGCCCTCAATGAAATTTTACTAAGTAATTTTGATAGTATCCCATGGATTTTGAAACACATTCCCTTTGTGTAATTTGCTGCATGTGCATCATATATTTTCTTGACTTAAATGATGTGAATGGACTACTTGGATAGAAATATTTTAAAAAGTTAGCAAAGATGTACTTACGATAAAAATTTAGGTATTAGATTGAAAGAAGGGACTGAGGGTTATTGCTTAATTGGGTGCACAAGTTTTGGTTTTGCAAAACGAAAAAAAGTTCACTTGAAGTGGATGGTGGTGATGGTAGCACAGCAGTACCAAAGCATTTTACTGCTACTAAATTGTACACTTTATGAATTGTGTTTAGGGGTCTCCTCTATATAAGGTCATTCCTGTCACAGGCCATCAACTGCTGGCCAGTTACATGGCTGACTCACTGCAAGCTTAGAGTGTGTTTTGTGTTTTAAAGTAGTTACAATTTTAGTAGTTATATAAGTATCTGCATTAAAAAGCCTTTGGCCCTCAGAGCCTGAAATTTGCTGATACCTGCTCTAAAATATTTGTCAGTTCAATCTCCCACTCGCCATCTCTATTCCTTGTAAACAAGCCACTTAAAATATTCTGGACCTTATTTCCTCATGTTTAGAGGAGCTAACTTTTGCCCTTTCTGGAAGAACCATGTTAAAGATCTAACAGATAGAAGGTAAAACTATGAAACCCAACTCTCGTGTTTGTTTTGCTTTATAGAGACTGACCGTTGCCCTTCTTTACTCACTCTGTGTTCAAAGCAAGTGTATTTGCTAATCACCTTTCTGTGCTTAGTTGGCAGAAGTTGTTTGATTACACAAAGCCTGAAGCTGAGGTACTCAGACTTTTTAACAGGTCAGCCAGGTGGAAAATCATTGAGTTAATGAAAACCTGACTGGTACGTGATAAAAGGCTTGTGTCAGGATTACCATTCTTGGTTACTCAAACACTGCTTATCTTGTTTCTTGCTAGAAATGACTTTTTCGTGCATTCAGAAAAGTTAACTTGCTTAAATTGACTTGAATTAAGTTTGTTTTCATTTTGGTCAGAAAGTGGAAAGTCTGGGTGATAAAATCCCTTAGGTATTTAAGGACACTGATGTCCCCAAAATCATAAAGCTGTGTAGTTAGCAGTTTCATTGCTACCCCTAATGCCTATCCCCAAGAGGCTTGTTATTTTGACAGCTGAAAGCTGAAAATCTTTCCAAAAGGGCCAAGTAAAATCATGTTTGTACAGCACTTGAACAGTTTGCGGCTGTTTACAAACCAGTGGGCAGAACATCCTGTGTATCTACAAATGACTAAAGATCCAGGAGTTAGTTTTTAGTTGGATGTTTGGTCCCATGAAATAGTGTATCTGTAAAATGCTTTCAAATTTTGCCTTTCAGTCATTTCATTCCTAACAGCAGTAACAGTAAGGATACCTTAATATGCTCAGAATGGAGTTAAAGCATTGTATTTTTGTGACCTACTTGTAAGAATCCTCATTATATTCAAAGATTACATCTAATTGTTGAGACATAATGATGCTATTGCAGACTGTCATTCTCTAATGATAAATAACATAAAAAAGATAACAAAAACCCTTGTTTTTTTTGCAACAACTGATGGAACTTGTGATTATTACTAAGTGAAATAAGTCAGAAGGTGGATGACAATTATTGGATGGGTTTTGTGGACTACAAATAGCCAAAGCAAACAAACTTTTTTTTCCACTTTAGGAGTTCTAGTCATTGTTCACTTTCAGTTCCTACAACTTTGTAGGATTTACTGTATTGATTTGCTGTTAAAAGACACAAGATCCTTATTGGACTGAACAGATTGGTTAGCAGGTACTATTTCTGATCACTCTCCCACATATTGGTTAGGTGTTTTACAGATGTCTGTGGTCTCTCTTTGGGTCTGTTTGAGAGAGATTAGGACATCTCACTGTGGAAACCTAAGCAAGTCTACTATCAGAAGTCTTCACATGGAAGACTACTGGAGGGAGTAGCCCTTTATCAACTGAAGTCATCTGGCAGGACTTTCACTGGAGCAGTGGTTGGTCTTGTAACTCAGAAAGATCACTGAATTTCACAGAATTTACTGGCTTCTAGCTAAATAGCCTCTAATAAGGAAAGCACTGGGCTGCAGCTTCATTCCATGTTTTTTCCTAATGTGAGACTTGGAACAGTTACTCAATGGGCACAGTATAGGTGATCTGAAGTGTATGATTCCTACCTACATGTGCAGCTATTAGAGAACATCAACTATTTAATAGCTTCTGGGGTATCCCCATTCCTCTAGATGTCAGGACTATTATCAAGTTACTCATATTTTTGTGTGTGTTTCCAGTGACATACCTAATCCAAATCTTTTTCTGCATGAGAAAACTGATCATTTGTTGTCAAGCAGAAATAGTTCAAAGTCTAATGCTATAACCACAGAATGCTTTTCTAGTGCGGAGATATCAGGCATCTTGTTGCTCATTAGTTGTAGAATATTGTCTGATACACGTGGGTGCAGAACTGGGGGTTGGAAAATGTTCCATTAGCACTTAACTCAAAACATTGATTAATAATCATGTTATCACCACTCTTTCTTGAGTTCTCAATGTTAATGTATGTAATGTATGGAGCACTTGTCCCAAGTCCAAAAGTTAATTGTTTCTAAAGAGGGTGTCTTCTGGTTTACATTATAGCCTCAGTCAATTGGCTCAGTCTGTAAAGTCCTAAACTATGATTAAGTTACTACTCTGCTTGGACCTTAAGCATAAGATTTTGTACAAAGTGTGCAGAAATAAGTAAGATGGAGAAAAGTCAAGAAGCTATTAATGCTGATAACTTTACCTACAATTTGTGAAATTAAAAGTGAAAAGTGAAGCGAGTATGAAAAGTGTGTGTATAAAGCAAGTGATTTACGAAACCTCTCCCCTAAACTTTGGTCTTGCTTTCATATATTTAAAATTTTTATTTTCCTATGTAGGTTGGAATATTTATAAACATGAATGACTGGCCTCAAACCATAAATACTCATTTTTTGATGCTAAACACCTTGCAATACAAGGCTGTTTCATTTGCTTTCTTTTCTTTCTAGGTGGTCTTCGAGGAGTAGCACGAGGTGGTCTAGCAGGACTAACACTTACCAGCCTCTATGCACTGTATAACAATTGGGAGCACATGAAAGGCTCCTTGCTCCAACAGTCACTTTGAAGATATTGCCAACTCATAAATGGAGAACACTTTAATAGTCATCCAGGTCAATTTATAAGTCAGTCTGGAGTTATTCTGTCTTCTATCTACAATTAATTTGAAAAATTGGAGCTTCTCTTTTGCTGTGATGAAGATCATGGATGGTTAAGCAAGACTGGCTCCTTCCAGCCATAAATGAGTTGAAGACAAAAACTCTTTGGTGGCTGAGTGATGTGGTTTTCTTTGGAGATTTTGCACCTGGTATCTCCTACACCTGAGCTGGAAAACCACTTACTTCCCATGAGTTAAGGTCATGCTATCAATACTATAACCACATTTGTTCATTTAATGATATAAAACTAATGTTGCCCTATATTTCCAATAAAGGGTAAAAGTAGAACCAAAGTCCTTACTCCAACATAAACACAGTGGGTGTCTTTTTTAAAAGAGTCATTCTGGATATAAAGTTAGTTGTTACTGGTATTTTTCTATCTCAGCTGAGCTAAAACATATTTTCATGTTTGTGTTGCAAGCAGCTTCTGGTGACTAATAGCTAAGATAAGATTTTTTTTCCAAGAGCTGACACTGAACCTCAGCATCTTTCAGGTTAACCATTAAACCTTAGCATTGCTAGAACAGTGTGTCCAATAATTATACTTAATTCTGTACATATTAAGTCATCTCCTTTGTGGAGATAATCAGAAAAAGAGGTGAAACAGCTGTTAAAGAGGGTGGCCTTGGGAAGCTTAAGGAAATAATAGCAAATTACGAATTTGCTTAAAGAATGAGTTATGAACTTGTTTCATCTTTGAAACAAAAATATAACTGCACTGCAGGTTACATATATACTTAATTCAACTGGTGGTTTCTATGATGGGGTAGATTAAATAGGGCCTTTTTAGGTGCATCCACTATTGACACTAAAGCATTAAATCTTAGCTAAAATCCAGTTTAGAAAAAAAAGAGTCAATATATTTCATCAGCAATACAAATTAAGAGTTTGTAGGGGAAAAGAATGGAAATCTGCAATATATCTGCTAACTCAAGATTCACAAAATACATTCATATTTACATGACAAAACTATATATATTCAGGCTATTTCTCAGCTATATTCCTTAAAGGTTCACACATAATATAGTATATTTTGTGACAAAGTAGTTTTATAAATGCACATGACAATTTATATGGCTGTTAGGCTTTTAATGGAGGAAGGTAGAAAATACATCAATGCAAAAGAATATCTTAACTAGCATAAGTTGGTTAACATAAATTTAAGAATACACTGTTAAACCTCAAAAAACTACAAATTTTCTTGCAAACTAAGATAATGGAAAGGCTCCTTAAGTTTATTTTGTTTTGAGGTTACATTGGTTTACAACATTGTGTAAGTTTCAGGTGTATACTTCAACATCTCTATATACTACACATAGTAATCAACAAAAAACTAGTTTCCATTTTACCCACCACTTTTATTGTTAAAATTCTAAAATAAATGGGGAGACTAAAAAATAATAAGGCTCTTTTTAGCTGTGGTTCAAAGAATTCTAATGAAGCAGTATATGGGAATGAAGTTTTCCCTCAAAAATGCTTTGACCACAGACTTTGAAAGACTTTTCAATAACATGTAGACAAGTTTTGTGGCTTACTAATTTAAAACCTGGGAAGTAGCTAGGATAGCCCATCTTACAGAATATTAAAACATTTAAATCTTGTCTCTCCTACAGAGAAACTACTAAAAAATGACTAAGGATAGTGGGAAAACACAAATTTTTGTAAAGCTTCAATAAATACTCCCAAGGCACAAGTATGTATTCTAACGGCCTGTTCACCAAATATCACTGCATTGCACTTCTAGAGGTATAGAATATGGTATGCTTGCAGTGAAAAGACATTTTATTTACTCCCTAGTTAAAAGCACCAGGTGTCAAGCTCAGCTTCCATTTACACAGGATGCACCAATAACCCTAAAATAGTATTTCAAGTACTAACATCATACTTAAAGACTATGTAATACCAGTAAGTACTACTTGACTTTTGCTCTTTGAGTGGCACAGGGCTCTTTTGCCTGTAGGCTCAAAAGACTTCTGAAGTGACTAAGACTACCACAAAATAGTCTTGAAACAATACAAGGCCCTTTTAAAAGAACACACTGAGAAAAAGAATTTACAGTAGATGTCTTTCAAAAGAATTAGGAATCTGCTGTTTTGTAATTGTGTCAAAAAATGCAAAGATTTAATACCCATTTTGGTAACAACAGCAACAAAAGGCATTTCTTTGCTAATGATGAAAACCCACAATAAGGGAAGCAGCTAAAGAAGGGGAATCAAAAAGTTAGGGACAGGGACATTTACTAACTTTAGAATATATGAACACACCTGACAGAACTATTTCATTTTTAAAACTATAAAGTTAATATCATTTAGCAACCCAATCTAAGGAGCCATGGAAAAGACCTATCTAGTAAATTGCTGTGTTTCTGTGCTAAGGGTGAATTACTACTTCTGTAAGAAGGAACTTATTCACCTCATCAACAAACAGCCTTTTCCTTGTACACAGTAACTCATACTTTGATGACTTTCTTTTCACTAGATCAAAATTAAGCAGAAAAGGAACTAAACTGATTGGTCAGACCCAGAAAAATAATGATTTGATAAGCTGCAGTCACTTGGCTCATGGATGTGTAATACTTTGCAGGAAAGTTGCGTGACTAGTTCTCCATTCCTTTACATCTGTAAAGAAAAGCCCACAAAAACAAAGTCACTTCATGGTAGGACAAAAGCAAGTTTCCCCCACATTAAAGCTGACATATGTTTTTGTTTTTCTCTAATGAGTAACACACTGGTTTACAACATGTAATTGAGGTGTAGGTTCACACCCTTCAAATATATATAACCCCACCATCAAAGAACCCACAAACTACTAGGATCCACACAAATTAAAAATTCCTGACAGATCACCTTCATAAATTGAGTGATATGCAATCATCATGTCCTTACCCTTACTTGCCTCATAAACACACCATTAGTTCAGTGGACACAAGGATGAATTCATCATACTTAAGATAAAACATAAGCAGCTGAAATCTAGCAATTACACTAGTAACAAGTACCCACCTGCAGAGGAGTTCGATACAACCACTTTTCTTTATCAAGTTTAAGCTGCATACAGGCAAAGAGGTCACACACTGCTGGGAGACCATAATGGTCTGGGGGAAAGCTACGTTCCTCCTGCAGAGGTGAGTTAAGTAATACCTCCTGCAAGAAGTAAAAAAAAGATTGGTTGCTACATGACAGAATCGGAAAACCACTAACTCAGCTTCCAAGAATGGCAATGTCTATGGGCCCAGCACGCATCTGCTGTGCAACTCTGCTATCTAGAATGGTAGTGTCTATAAAGAAAAAATACCATTCTTTCAAAAGGAAAGATAACAACTACTTTCTCTAGTCTTTCCGTAAATAGCAAGAAAATAGGCATGATATTCTGTCAGAATGGGGGCTGGAGGGCTGGAAAAGTGCACAAAACTCAGTCTAAACAAATGATTCGTCAACAGGAACTAATAACACTTCAGTCAAATTTAGCTTAACATTTAAGAATCTCGCCCATCTTCTGCAAGGGGTGGGATTAAGAAAGAAAAAATGGCCTTTATGTCTGTGCTCACCTTGGCTGCCTTTCGAAGTAGCCACTTATCTTCTCCTGAGGATAACTGGTTGAGATTTCCAGTTTTCTTTCCTGGCAAGACCCAGTCGGCTGTGTTCAAAGGACACCAAGAAGTCGCCACAGGACTCATAAGATTTTGTTGGGCAACGCTAGGTGCTTCAGCACTAGGAACTTCCTTGGGATGTCCTTCTTTGCCTGTGGGTCCGGTGAGCCACCCAGATAGGGGGCTGTTCCTTATGACTTGGAAGGAATCTGTAATTCTAGATGGAGTCAGTGCCTTTGATGCCTTGGTTTCTTTTATTGACTCTTTTTTGGAAGGACAGAGCCACATATTCAGGGAATCTTTATACTTCTCATACTCAGGTTTTGGTTCCACAGGCATCCCATTTTTATCCTTTCCTTCTTTCTTCAGAAGCCATTTACACAGAGCTTCCTTCTCACAATTTTCATCACACACACACTCTGCAAAGCTTGTACAGGGCTCATTGGCTTTGCATACTTCCTCTACTTTATAAGGGTCCTGATGGTTCTGGACAAGCCAAACCTCGGTAATCATGCCAGGAGTGGACAAGGGTTTCTTGGCCTCCAGGTGGTCATTCAGGCACTTCAGATTGCCCAGGTTTTCAATCTCCACACCTTTGGGCTGGTTGCCCCGACAATTGGTGCAGGAATCAGGCTTGATGAGCCAATCATTCACACTATAGGACTCCTGGAACACCTGGAACAAGGACTTAAACTTCTCATTAGTTCCACAGCTGCCACTCCCAAGCTTCTCCAGATCATCGTATTCCTGGGGAGTCACCAGCCAGTCAGAAAGGTCTATCTCATCTTGATCCAGAAGGTCTAAATCTTCAACTTTTTCAATTTCAACAGAGTAAGAACTGGTAGTAGAATAACTATTACACTTTTGGTGACTTGATTTTTCAGGAACTTCTTGTTGGTGATTCTTGAGAAGCCAATTTTCCAAGCCCTTTAGGTTGCCCCAGGCATTACTGAAGAAATTGCAGGCTCTGGCAGAAGTCTACACAAAAAGTACAAGATATGGTTTGCCAGGACACTTGACTGCTTTAGGGAGTCAATGATAAAGAGTTCTATTTGCATATTTACTGTACTATTCAAACTTATAAATTTACAAATCTAAATTTATACATACAAAGCCAAGAGAGAAGGGATTTCTCTGCTGACATACTAATATTTTACTACATACTAATATTTTAATTGCTGCAATTTTTAAAAACCTGGAAAACATTAAAGGCAAACCCAGGAGAAAGTATGTGTACCATATATAGTAGAAAAGAAGTTACTAATTCTACGTAATATGCCCTTATGAATAAAGACTAAAATGAACAAAGAATATGATTAGGCAAACCATCAAAGAAAATAAACATGAAAAAAACAGCTCAACCTCCTTAATAATCAAAGGACCTCATAACAAAAGTAAAATTGTTATTTCATGTCAAAATCAGAGGGAAAATAAAACCTTAAAAATGACTATCACATTAGAGAAGTTGCAGGGAAGCAGGTACCCTCAATACTGGTGGGAACATAAATTGCTATCAATTTCTAAATTGATAATATGATTAAAATGCCTTAAAGGATAGGCAGATTTGTTATGCAGAAATGCAATTTCTATAAATTTACTCCTGAGGAACTGTACACAAGCAACTAGCACTTGAATGTTTAGAGGAACTTTGTTTATATCCAAAAAGTTTTAGTCAACCAAAGATTACTACATACTATTAAAAGTTTCATGTAAGAAATTAAATGATAGAAAAACATACTCTTGCTCTATTAGCAAAAAAGAAAAACTGCTAACCTAACAGAACAGAGGTAATATCGGGATCCCTCCATTAGGTATTACCACCACAGTGCACCCACAACACACCCAGACTCCACAGCTACAGACCACTGTGCTTCCTTCCCTCTTTGTCCTGCCCGTCCCCCCCGCCCAACCCCTTATTTGGTGGTTCAGTTTTGTAGTCAGCCATCAGGCTTGTCTTTATTATAGTCTTTTTTCCCAAAGTATATATATATACACAAAAAAACAATAAAATACATAGCTAAGTTTTATAGTGATTGTTGCTATTATGATTAGTGTTTTCTTTATATAGTTCCTTGTTTTCTAAACTTTGTATATATAATGAAGCGTTGTCACTACCGTAATTGTTATTAAAAATGTTTCCAGACTAGAGTAGAAACACTAGTAAGTTATTAAAAGTATGTTTCCAGGCCCTTCCTGGTGGCACAGCGGGTTAAAGCACAGCACTGAGAAGCTAAAGCCACTTCATGAGTTTGATCCCCGCCCCAGAGGTGACCCGCATGGCGTGGCAGACTTCTCCTAACTCTCCCACTGCTCCCCTCAGCAGTGTACTTCGTCGTTCAACCTGTTCTGCTCCCCACTCTGTCTCTGGTGAATCTTCTTACCGCCCCTGTACCTCTGGCCTATACCCCAGGTCTGTATGCATAAATAAGTCTTAGAAAAAAAATTTATGTTTCCAAAATAGTTTTTATAGTTTCCAGAACTAAAAACCAAAAATGTGCTTAGTAATACTACCACCAGAAACAACAGGGGCAGCAACACACCTGATAATTCTCTGGGATCTGCTTTTGTGTGAGCCAGTCCTGGAGGTTGGTGCTGGGCATGTAAGGAGCCTGACGACAGCTGGCAGATTTGCTTCCAAGGAGCCATTCACTGAGAGGGACAGTGATGCTGCTGGATGCTGACTTCTGCTAATCAAATTAACATTGGACTTCTTAACAAGGCAATGTCAAATGCAGTCGAATCTCACCCAAAATACAGGCAACCCAATCTCTCTAATCTTGGCCTGTCACTGTCCCTGCACAAATCACATGACTTTCCTAAGCCTCCATTATCACAATTTTAGTAGAGTATAACTGACCTCCAGGGTTCTTCCCAATTTAAAATGATTTAAGGTCCTATATTCACATTGCCTTTAGAAGTAAGTCATCTCTGTAAATTGTAAAGAAGGATCCCTAAAAGAGAACCAATCCAATCACTAATTTCTTTCTTCCTCAAAACTTACAAAACCTTTAAATTCCTACCAGTCTCAAGAGCAATACTGAATTGCATAAGCTAACTCATTAACTGTGGTGCCTTTTACAAAGGTAACCCAAAAGTAATTTAGTTAAAATACATAAGAAATACAAGTAATAACCAGAAAAAAAAATGACATTTTACCGGCTCTATCAATGGGCTATAACCTCTTTTCTCCATGAACGGCCCAATATTTGATGCACTACCATGAACCATCAGGTGCTCAGGAATTTGCTGTAAAACAAAAGTCAAATTAATTGCATTAGCAATGTTAGCTTTCATACTATAATCTCTACATTTTCAAATGTATTAAAGCAAAACTTTACCACTAAGTACAATGACCTAGAGAAGGACTAATCTAGTCAGATGGCAGCAGAGTGAAGAAGTTGGGCTTACCTCAACATATCCACAACCAAGTTACAACAAAGATAACCACAGACAAATAAATGAATGATTATCAAATATATGAACAGCAACACCTCATGGAAGGGGTGGGTAAATCCAAAAACACAGAAAGTACACATCAAATCTGAGCATTCTCCATCAGCTACAAAATTATCTTCATATCAGAATTCTTCAACAAAGGGCCCTTCCTGGTGGCACATGGGTTAAAATATTATGAAGCTATCTGCATCCACTGCAGCATGAGTTTAATCCCTGGCCAGGAAGGTGACTCATATGGTGTGGCAGATCTCTCCTGACCCACCTACTTTTCCCGTCAGCAGTGTATCAGTTGATCTGCCTGTTCCACTTCCCACTCTCTCTGGTGAATCCTCACACCCTCTGCATATCTGGCCTATATTCCAATTCTTATATGCATAAATAAATCTTTTTAAGAAAAAGGAGGTCTTCATCAAAATTGGTATCATTACTATTAAGATCCAAGTAAGATTATATTTGGTTATTTAAATTAAAGACCACTCAAGCCACAAATTTATTAAGAAACATACAGGGGGCCCTCTCTGGTGGCACAGCAGGTTAAAACACAACACTGAGAAGCTAAAGCTACTTCAGCATGAGTTTGAGCCCCAGAGGTGATCCACATGGTGTAGCAGAGCTTTCCTGGCACACCTGCTGCTCCTCTCAGCAGTGTACTTCATCGGTTGGCCTGTTCTGCTCCCCACTCTGTCTCTGGTGAATCCTCTTACCACCCCTGCACCTCTGGCCTGTACCCCAGCTCTGTGTGCATAAATAAATAAAATCTTTAAAAAAAAAAAGAAAGAAAGAAACATACGGGCCCTCCCGAGTGGAGGTTAAAGCACAGCACTATGAAGCGATCGGCAGTCACTGTGGCCAGGGAGGTGACCCACACCTCTCCTCAGCAATGTATTTCAGTAGAACTGCCTGTGCTGTTCCCTACTCTGTCTCCACCACCACCACCCCCAACACACAAACCTCTAGCCTGTACCCCAGTTCTTATAAGCATAAATAAATAAATCTCAAAAAAAAAAAAAAACAAGATAAATTCTAGAGACTATCATTAAGTCAATATCACATGCCTAGAACTAGCCTAATTAATTCTCTATCGACTTAATCAGAATATGGAATTTTTGAAGCTTACCAAATGACCAAGAAAGTCACTCAAAAGTCCTATGTGATATTTTCAAGATCACCTATGAAACCACAAACCTTAGAAGCACACAATGAACCATTTGAGATCAACACTACTCACAATGGTTTTAAGGGACCCAAATGTGGTGATGGCCTGACGCAGAGCAGTCGTGTCTGCTTCAAAGACCAGAACAGTTGAATCTTCAGGTTTGAGGGTCAAACTGCCCAATCTAAGGAAAAAAATAAAAAACACTGGGTTAAAGGAGTATGTATTTCAACTTCATCCAAATGTCAAATTGTGAATAATCTGAAATAATTGTGGCTCTCTAAAAAACTCAACCAAAGGTATATGACTTAATCATGTGTCAGCAGGACAATCTTATCACAAGAACAAAGAAATCAGCAAATCCAACACAAGTAATCCAACACATTCAATGAGCCACAAAACTGAGGTTCTTAAACCAAAGTCAGAGAGTCAAAAGTTAAAACAAACAAATAAGGTCTTTACCTCTCCAGACATACAGAGACCTGATTGGCTAGATCTTTGTTTTGGGTACACTCCAGCTGATGAATCAGACAATTGAACTGGCCCAGTAACTACAAGAAAAAATAAAACCACCTAAGCCACAGTGATGGAATAAACAAGTATACCCAAGTTAACAAATAGCAAACAGCATTTATGATTAAACTTTTAACTGATCTACATTAATGCTTCATTATAGGAAAGCTATTCTCTCAAAACCAGAAACCATACTCAAAGCAATTATAATCACCATACCCAGTAGAGCTGTTGAGCCTGCTGCTGAAGGGTCTCCTCTTTAAGCTGATAGATGAGCTCTACCTGTTCAAATAGCCACACCTCACGGCTTCTAAGGCATTCCAGGTGACGACTTATGCAGCTGTGAATCTGAGCTTTGACCTAAGAAACAGATATGTTAGCTTTACTGTGTTGTAATTCTAAAGAACCATGTTCCCAATTCCCAGGTCTTTCAGTTTTTGAGTAACAAGTCCTTTTGGTTATCCAATGACAGCTATGGAGGACAGTCCTATAAAATGCATATTCTGAGAAATCTGCCTATAATTTCACGGTTTAGTGTCCCTAAGCCCACCCATGAAACCACCAATGCTCCACAGCACAATTTAAGAATTTGGGCCATAAAGGTAAATATAAGATCTAAAATCCTTTTTCAAGAACTCTCCTAAGATCAGGTTTGTTTAGGGAGTCCTCAAGTAAGCAGGAGAAAATATGAATATGTATATTATGATACTGGTATTCCTCAGTTTTACAAATTTATTAGAAGAATAAGATAAACTATTAGCTTAGTAGTCTTTTTCGCTTTCCTCACTACACAGCTAAGCAGTCATGTACCGTCGACCAATTAATAAAGAGATGTACCACGACATGTCAACAACTAGAAAGTCTCAAGGACACAAAGTTTAAATAAAATTGTAAATTACATGTTTCTAGAAAATATTATTCAAAAGGGTGATAAACATAAAAATACTATGAAGAAGACAAAAAAAAAGGAATTTAAAAAGTCATGAATTACGCATAAATATTCACACAGGACTCTATAAAAACAGATTTAGACCAAAGGAAAACATTAGGCCAAAAGAAAACAAATTTCATACCCCAGTTTTGTATGCATAAATAAATAAATCTTAAAAAAAAAAAAAAAAAGAAAGAAACTAAAGCCACCTCAGCATGAGTTTGATCTCTGGCCCTGGAGGTGACCACAGGGCATGGCAGACATCTCCTGACCCACCCGCGATCCCCTCAACAGTGTACTTGGTCAGTGGGCCTGTTCTGTTCCCTGCTTTGTCTCTGGTGAATCCTCTCACTGTCCCTGTACCTCTGGCCTGTACCCCAGTTCTACATGCATAAATAAATAAATCTTAAAAAAAAAAAAAAGAAACATTTCATTCTAGCTTACTCTAATGGATAGTCATCTGCAGAACCAACAGAAAAGATGGTAAGGGACTTGTGTGCTGACTGCCACCCTTTATGCCTGCAGAGAACACCTAGAGCAGTTCACTGATCATCCGCTTCACTATGTTATTAACTATAGTGCCTAGGCACAGGGGCCACAGAGAAGTGCAACCAAAAATACATAATGGCCCTCCCTGGTGGCGCAGTGGGTTAAAGCACAGCACTAAGAAGCAAAAGCCACTTGCGCATGAGTTCGATCCCCGCCTGCCCCGGAGGTGACCACATGGTGTGGCAGACCTCTCCTGACCCGCCCGCTGCTCCCCTCAGCAGTGTACTTCGCCGATCTGCCTGTTCTGCTCCCCACTCTGTCTCTGGTGAAGCCTCTCGCCGCCCCTGAGCCTCTGACCTGTACCCCACTTCTGTATGTGCAAATAAATAAATCTTTAAAATATATATATATATATACTATATATAATGAACTGATTTCCACACTAGTCTAACATCTGTCATATGTCCACCTTTGGAAATCAAAGGGACCAACATTTCACGTGGCCATGAAAAGCGTGAGTGAAACTTTGCCATTGGTACTGACAGACCACGCCCTTAGCTGTGTTCTAACAAACCTGTGCTAAGAATCTAGACAAGAGGGCCTCCCCGTTGCGCAAGGGGCGAAAGCACAGAACTATGAAGCTATGGCAGCCACTGCAGCATGAGCTTGATTCCCAACCAGGGAGGTGATCCACATGGCACAGCAGACCTCTCCTGTCTTATCCGCTGCTCCCCTCAGCTGTATATTTTAGTTTATCTGCCTGTTCTGCTTCCTGCTTTGTCTCTGGTGAATCCTCTCAAACCCCACACCTCTGGTCTGTACCCCAGTTCTTGTATGCATAAATAAATCTTTCAAAAAAAAAGAATCCAGACAAGAGAAAAGTATACATCACACCTCTCGCAAGTTATCTTTAATTTGCTGTTCAGCCCGGAGAACTCCACCAATAGCAAGCTCCAAGTCCCTTCTTGCATCACAACATCTCAAAAGAGGTTCTCTGTTACTGGAGCAGCCACTCTGGTCCTGTGAGGTACTCATTCTGTTCACTGTTCCTTTAAAAGAAAAAAAAAATTTTTTTAAAAAGAACATTAGGGCCCTCCCTGGTGGCGCAGCGGGTTAAAGCACAGCACTGAGAATCTGAAGCCACTTCCGCATGAGTTCGATTCCCGCCTGCCCCGGAGGTGACCACATGGTGTGGCAGACCTCTCCTGACCCGCCCGCTGCTCCCCTCAGCAGTGTACTTCATCGATCTGCCTGTTCTGCTCCCCACTCTGTCTCTGGTGAAGCCTCTCGCCGCCCCTGAGCCTCTGGCCTGTACCCCAGTTCTGTATGCACAAATAAATAAATCTTTAAAAAAAAAAAAAAAGAACATTAGAATGTAAGTTCTTTTATAACACACACAGTCTTAAGGGTCATGTGTACTTATTTTCTAGATTTATAAGGTAAAGACTAGAAGGTGTAGAAGGAGCCATAATTACCTTGAAAACAAACTGAAAACTAATTAATTTTTATAAAAGCTTAGCACACTGTTCAGCTCTGACACTAATTTGAATTTATTAAAAGGATGACATTTTTTATTTTTTTGATGAATTTTTTTTTTAACTTACTAAGAACTTAGGAATTCATAGCTAGCAAGCCCTCGGCCATCCCTGGTAGTACAACAGGTTAAAGCACAGCACTATGAAGCTATCTGTTGCCACAAATTAATCTCCAGCCAAGGAGGTGACCCACAATGGTGGAGCAGACCTCTCCTGACCCACCTGTTGCTCCCCTCAGCAGTATATTTCAGTGTATCTGCTTGTTCTGCTCCCCACTCTATTCTGGTGAATCCTCTCACCGCCTCCCTCCCCCTGCAACCCGCACCTCTAGCCTGTACCCCAGTTCTGTATGCATAAATAAATAAATCTTCAAAAACAAAAAAAAGAATGTAAACCTAACAAAATATTTTCATAGAATTCTGATATAAGGGAAGTACTTACAGAAATTGGTGCAGGTAACTAAAGAGTTCTCTACTAAGCTTATTTAGATTTATGAAAAAGAAAAGGCAGAAGTGGAAAACACATAACAAATGATTTAATGACAGGAGACTGGGACAGAGAGTGTTGAAAAAGCAAAGACGTAAAGTTTAAAAGAAGTCATTAGGTCCTCCCTGGTGGTGCAGCAGGCTAAAGCGCAGCACTAAGAATCAAAAGCCACTTCCACATGAGTTCGATCCCTGCCTGCCCGGAGGTGACCACATGGCGTGGCAGACCTCTCCTGACCTGCCTGCTGCTCCCCTCAGCAGTGTACTTCTTGATCTGCCTGTTCTGCCCCCCACTCTGTCTCTGGTGAATCCTCTCACTGCCCCAGCAACTCTGGCCTGTACCCCAGTTCTGCATGAGTAAATAAATCTTTTTTTTTTTAAAAAAAAGTCATTAAAACAGTTTGGTGTCTTTTCTAGACAGCTCTAGAATCAGCAGTTTCTTAAAAACATTAGAAAAAGAAAGCAGTGATCACAATAGCCCTGACTGAGTTTGTATGTCCTCTGACACCAAAGCTAGTTTCACTAAACCTACCAGTCAATGTAATACTGGAGGGTAGTAATACTTGTGCAAAAATGAGTAAGGGTTTTAATAAAGCATAACAAACTATCATAAGGTTATTTTTAATAAAATACTCAAAGGATACAAACTGAAACCAGTCTGTAAACACCTTTAGAAAAAGGCATTTAGGGAAGAAAGATAAAAATTCTCAAAACCGTGATCATTTCTCCAGGAAGAAAAGCTGTCTAGTCTAGATAAGAGAAGTCTCTGGGAGGACATGACTACTATTCCCACATATTTGGAGACATGTCAAATAGGAAAAACACTTGTTTAGAATAAAAAGAAGGAGAATTTACAGGTGCTATTTAAGGCAATATGAAAGAATTGCCAACAGTTTTGAAGGTGCTCTTTCAGAGAAGCCAAGTTTTGGCTGAACAGCAATCTACCAAGGATAGAGTCCTCCAAATGGCTGGTCATCTGAGACAAAGTGAAATTTGGCCTCAACTCTATCTACAAAAATAGGTTTAGGGCTAGATGACTAGCTAGAAGCTGAAAGGGGACAAAAGTAGCATGAACCCCACCTTCAGTAATAAAAAAAGGGGAGAAAGATGCCTAACCAACTCTCTTTCCCACCAGAAAGACTCACATTCAGGAACTACCAAGTTCCTATAAGAAATTCTCTCTCTGTTATTTTGTTACTTCAGTCTATTTCCTCATAGGGACCTCTAATAAAGAACTTCCTTAACTAGAATTGATGGGAATCCCTGGGGAAATTTTTCCAAACTTCAAAACACCAGATGTAGCTTTTACTTTACTACCTTTTTCCCCATACTGTTAGCTGTTACCCCATACCGTTACCCTGTTTTAAACAAAGGTATCTACAGTTCACACTGCAGGGATATGAAAAATACCTACATAACACTAGTGAAATGTTGGCTCCTGTTAGAAGAGTCACTTCACCATAAGTTGCTTAATTTTGTATATGTAAATTCAGAAATAAGTTAATGCAAGGCATGTTTAGTTTTCTTTCAAATGTATTAACTAGGGCCTCCCAGGTGGTGCATGGGGTTAAAGTGCAGCACTAAGAAGCTATCCACAGCCACTGTGGCCAGGGAGGTCACCCACATGGCACAGCAGACCTCCCCTGACCCAACCACTGCTCCCCTCAGCAGTGTATTTCAGTAGGTCTGCCTGTTCTGCTCCCCACTATGTCTCTGGTGAGTCCTCTCACGTCCCCACGCCTCTGGCCTGTACCTCAGTTTTTGTATGCATAAATAAATTAATCTTAAAAAAATTGTATTAACCTTTACCTGTGCCAAATTTCCCATTTACTCACCAATTGTGTAGAATGCTAAGATGCCTGTCTGGCATAGTATAAAATTTAATCAATTAAATTAAATTAATATTGTTTCGCAGTGTTAAAAAAAAAAAAAAAACAACCGCCACCCTGAGATTTAGATTGGATGGGAGACAAATTCAAGTATCTATAGCACTAACTGAATTTTACTAGAAACTAAGAATCATTTTTCACAATTCAATCACAAGTGCTAATAAGAGAATAAGGCAAAAGTACACAAATTGGATTTCCCCTTATCAGCTATGCGCAGAAGGGAGGAGATTTGAAAGTTACAAAACTGACTTCCCCCGGATATTGATTATTTTTTTTTCTTTCAAATTAACATGAATGCTCTTTCAAAACATTCACCTTATTAAGACTAAGGACCTTTAGAGTCCATGTGTCAGCCACTAAGGCAGCCTGTTTCATTTCTTTATTGTCAGTGCAGGACACTGTTTTATCTTTTGTTGCTGTTGGGACTGTCTTTGCACAGGAACTGTCTTTCATTGCCTCTGTTTTTCTAGAGGAAATTGATACCCAGAGAAGTTAAGTAACTAGCTGTGGATCTCAAGCTTGCAGATGCAACTGGAATTCTGGTTTGTCAGATCCTAGAATGATCTAACTTTCATGTTTGCTACACTGGTTCTCAAACCCGAAACAAATGGTGAATTGTTGAAAATGGCAATATAAGCTAGTTACCTCAGTAAGTCTCTTTGGATATAACATTTCATAAAATTGACAGTCAAGGTACAGTTCCTCCCTGTGGGACAGTCAAGATATAGTTGCCATAGCCCAAATCCCAAAAATGTAGCTGTGCAAAAAAAAAAGCTTTCCCTCTTATACTGAGGTTAGGAGGAAAGCCTCAAAATTGAAATCAATAACTACTGATATGGGTGAACTCCAATCACAAACTAGTCTGTGTCAGTTTTATGAAATGTTATATCCAAAGGCACTTACTGAGGTAACTACTTATATTGCCATTTTCAACAATTCACCATTTGTTTTGAGTTTAAGAACCAGTGTAGCAAACATGAAAGTTAGATCATTCTAGGATCTGACAAACCAGAATTCCAGCTGCATCTGCAAGCTTGAGATCCACAGCTAGTTACTTAACTTCTCTGGGTATCAATCTCCTCTAGAAAAACAGAGGCAATGAAAGACAGTCCCTGAGAAGGACTACAGTACCCATAACATGAGACATTCTCTGCCTGTAAGCACCAGGAGCCTCTCTGCACGTTGTATATTGCTTAATGCTGCAGTTGTCAGTGTTAGTAGATTTAGCTGAGTTATGAGGAGCCTATAAACCTCCATCTTTGTAATATAGAGAGCTGCACTTAAATTAGAAAAAGCTCTGAAATGAAGAGGCCCTTATTTAACCTTTTATCCGTGTCATGACCTTGGATGGTCATGCTCTTTCTGACCTGATATCCTAATTCCTTAGTGATTAAAAAAAGAAAAATTCATATACTTAGCAATAAGGATGTGGTACAGTTCAAAAAATATTAGCTCCCAATCTAGTGTTTCACCATACAACACAGTAAGAGGGAAATTGTTTTTAATGGCAAAGTTCAGTAATCTAAACCCTCTAATATTTACCAAGTATGCACATATCTGCCCATTTTCTTACCTGTAAAAAGACTGAAATAAAATCAGCTCTAATTCTGAAATTCAAGCCAATTAAAGACTACTAAAAACGTCTTTTTAACTTCACCTCTATAAGCCAAATGACTGCCTTATCACCTTCGAAAAAGAACTGCCTCCAATTTACATTTATTAAGAAAAATAAAGTTTAAGTGTTTTCTGAAACTTCACTACATCTAGTTAGTATACCTGCCCTTGGTCTTGAGGAAAAGAGGTGAAAAGGGGGACCACAAATATATACCTCAAACAAATAAAGCTCCAGGGCAAGAATTCTACAAATATGTGTCTTTTTTGCACAATACTTTGCACAAACCTAGTTATAAAAAGATCATGAAAACATAATTGAGCAACTAACCACAAATGAAGCTAAGTCATTATCACATGGCTTACTCATAAAATTTCTAAACTCATGACCCACACAAACCACAGCTTAAAGTTGAAAAACAGCAGCCATCTCTTTAGTATATTACTCTCACTGTGCACACAAAAGTCCAGAGTCTAAATGACCCATGCAAAGGGCAACAATCATAATTGGATTTAGAGTATTTCTAAG